GCAAATTCTTTTGGTAATTCCTTAATTTTACCATTTAAATATCATAAAGTCATTGCTGAAGAGATGGGTCAAGGTGATTAAGAGCACTGTTCTTGCAGAGGACCCAGGTTCGGATCACAGCACCCATATGGCAGCTAACAGCCATCCATGACTCCAGTTCCAGGGTGTCTGATGCCATCTTCTGACCACCACGAGCATTGCACAACACTTGTGTACTTACATACATGCAGGCAATACACTCATACACATAAAATGAAAATAATTAAAAAAACTTTCATGAAGTTGTAATGTCTGTACAGATTTTGTGGACTCTCTGTCATGCTGTGATGATTTGAATGAGAATTGTCCCCCACAGGCTCCAAGTATTTGAATTCTTGTTGATTTTGTTATACTTTTAGCAGAGGTTCAGACAGTGTGGCCATGATGGAGTGAGCACATCACTGGGGGTGGGCTTTGAAAGTTAATAGCCATGTGTCATTTTCAGTTTCATTCTTTATGCATCATGTGTCTGCTTGAAGATATGAGGTCTCAGCTTTCTGATCCAGTTGCCTCGTGCCATGCTCTCTGCCATGAGAGACTCTTATCTCTCTGGAACCCCAAGCCAAATAAAGTATTCCTTCTAAAAGTTGCCTTGGTATGGTAATTTTCACAGCAACAGAAGTAACTAATAGAGATGATTAGTTAGATAAAACATTCTTTAAGAATACTAGTAAGTATTCTTACTAGTATGATATAAAAATTGTCTTACTGAACAGCTCACGTCAGTTGCCAGAGTCATAACCAGTTTTTGTACTTCTCATTTCACCTGGCATCACACTAGGACTCTGTCAGTGAACACACAGTCAATGTGCTATTTATGTGTATTCATTTTTTATTTCAGGACTTGTTAACATTCAGCGATGTGGCTGTTGATTTCTCCCCAGATGAGTGGGAACACCTGGAACCTGCTCAGCAGTCTCTGTACAGGGATGTGATGTTAGAGAACTACAGAAACCTAGTCTCTGTGGGTAAGGATAACATCCCTACAGAACTCCTAATTTCTTTCCTTTCAAGAATGTTGTGGTCTCTGCTTTGCAGGAATGAGATACAGATTTCTACTTTAAAGAGAACAATTGTGATGTCATTGATGTTGATAAGAAAGTGTTCCTGTTTCTTCTTCTCATTATCACTCTGCTCTTTCTTGAAATAACATACACCCATCCTTGATTAGCAGTAAATATAGCAATTCTATGTCACATAGCATTCTGGGATACTTCTTGAATTCCAATTTCTTTCCCTTTAACTTTGATTTGGTAGTCATTCTGGGCTACTTCTTAAAGTTCAGTACCTTTTCCTTTAACTTTGTTTTAGTAGTAAGTAGAAGTGGATCTCAAGATCTGCAAATTGTTAGTGTGTTCCCATATGTCCTTTGGGAAACCGCATTGTATTTGTTACTTTTCTGTTGCTGTATAGAAACACTGTGACCATGGGAACTTACAAAGGTTGATTTACTTTATGGTTCCAAAGGGGCATGGTGGCAGAGGTGGCTGGAGTGGGAGCAGAAGCTAAGTGCTCTCATCTTCAAGCAGGTATAGGAAGCTAAGAGAGTGACTGCATATCTGGCAAGGCTTAAGAACACTCTAAGTCCCACACCTACCTCCTCAGTGATGTGTTTCCTCCAGCATGGCCACATCTTGTAAGACCCCACAACAGTACCACCAACTGGGGACAAAATGTTCAAATACTTGGCTCCTATAAGGGACATTTTCATCAAACCACCACACTCATTTAGACAGTGTTCTTGAATCCTTTATCATATCTTTTCTAATAGACATAGTAATATGACAGATACCTGAATTGTTACAGGTAGAATTAAAATAAATGCCATGTCTTTTATCTAATAATCAGGTCTTGCTGTCTGTAAGCCACATCTGATTACCTTTTTGGAGAAATGTAAAGAGCCCTGGGATGTGAAGAGACCAAACACAATGAACAGATTCCCAGGTAAGTAGGTAGAAATAGATGAAGCAGAGAATAGAGGTGTGAGGCGCAAAGGTCAAGGAGCAAACCGCAAGGTTAAGTAATATTTACTGTATGTGTATTCTAAAGTGTCTTCATCTACTATCAAAGGGAATTAAGTTACTTTCATCTATATGCTTTTGTGACTAAGGCTATAATTAAGTTTAAAGTCTTCATTTGGCCATCACGTAACAGTATAACTATTACTGTTCTCTACTGTGTTCCATAGATCTACTCGTTTAACTTTATGTCAGCATAAAACTGTTTTGATTTCTGTTGTTTTTGGATGTGTTTTATGTTCAGGAAGTCTGATGCTTCATAATTTTTCTCATGAGTTGTTAAAATCTTTCTTCGTTGACATGAGAGATTCGTCTGATTTTTGGAATTGAGTTTGCTACTACTTCTAAGAATAACTTTTAGATTTTGATGATAGAAATTATACAGACTCTCTGGATCATATCAGATATGAAAGTTATCTTACTTTTAACTTATTACTCTGTAATAATATCAGTTAAGAACATATGGATTAAATGACACATATATTTAGGTTTTCTTATATCTACATCTTTCATTGTTGATTTCTTTTATTCTGTTTAGGAATAAAACTGCTG